ATGCATTATGAGTTCCTTTTTACCGCACTTAGAAATTTTAGAAAACACAACTGCTTTTGCTCTTTCCAATTCCGGATGGTTGCAATTTTTTTACACAAATAGCCGGCCAGATTCAATGTTTACTTTTTCTAGTTGGTATATATAGATTATATGTTGATTATACTTATATATAAATTATACATATATTATATATCCGGTGGCTATTTTTAATTTAAGAGATTAGGTGGGCTATTATCAGTGGCCTAGCCACCCTTTGCCAAGGGTGGTCAAGCGCACACTCTTCACCAAAAAAATTATACTGCATATATAAGTTAAATACTACTTTATATGGTTATATATTGTAGTTTGAACACCCTTCACAGTTACGCCCATTTTGTTTGCCAAACTAAACGGAAACCATCATGTGTAGTCTATTTGATTCTTTTGCAATCTAAAAAACTTCCTAATAAAATAACTCTTAAAACATAAATTTTGTGTAGAAATAAACAACTAATCTTAAAAGTAATTTTTTAACTAAAAGTTATTTCTTAAATAAATTTTATAATTCTAAAGTCAAGTTCTACAAAAAATTTGGTACACCATTCATCGACAAAAAAAAAATATTGACTTGTTTAAAATTTGAACACCCTTGACGAAATTCCTGACTACGCCACTGACTGCTATTTGGGTTAAATCTTTTTTTTTCTATAATAGCTCTCATTTGTCTTCCTAGTGACTTTTTATTAACTTAAGCAAAGTTGTAATCTCTTTATTACAAGAAAATTGTCAGTGGCTTTCGTGATACTTAAGTAAAGTTGAGTGACTTTTTCAGTTACAAAATTAATTTAGCTACTTTATTGAAATAAAATGAAAGTTAAGTGACCAACCCCGAAATTAACCCCAAAATTGTCAATCGTTTTATAAAGTGGTGAAAATAGCATGGGCTAGCTAGTTTTCGGACTGGTAATTGAAAAATAGTCAGCGTTTGCAAAGTCATTCAAAAATAGCCACTATTTTGCTGCAACACGGAAAGTAAGGCTGTATTGTGGTTCGGGCCCAGCCCGCGACCGGCCCAGGCCCGCGAGCCCACATGGGCTTTGGGCTAAACGGGCTGGCCCGTATGGTCCGGGCCCAAGCGATCCTAGGAGCCCACTGTGGGCCGGTCCAGCATGGAGAGACCGCGAGCCCGGGACCGTTTAACCCGGGACCGGCTGGCGGGCCTGGGCCGGTTCAACCGGGCCTAACGGGACCAACGGCTATTTTTCAAAAAAAAAAAATTTAAAATTGGCCAACGGTTGGAAGTTTAAAAACTAGCCGTGCCTGCCAATTTAGTCGTTTGGCTTTTTAAAATATAGCTATTTGCCCCCCAAAACTTTGTTTTAACCCCCAAACTTTTTATAATTATACTTTTTCCCTATTCTCAACTATAAATACCCCCTCATTCTTTCATTTTTACTCACAAAAATCATCAATCTCTCTCAATCTCTCTCTAATTTTCTTCTATAATTGCTTACTTTATTATTGCAATTTGTGAAAAATTGTGAAGTTGGTGAATTGAAGTATTCAAGTCTTCAAGTCTTCAACGATATACAATTTTCAAGAAGTTGTTCGTCAATTCGGTAAACTCTTTCCAACTCTTAAGTTTTAATATTATAGTTTTGTTTGTTTTAGTTTGTATAATTATAATTAATATGGCCTTTTCTTTGAAAAAAATGTTTGGTGGTAAGGAAAAATCTAAAATTGGTGAATCTAGTGGCCAAGCTACTACTCCTCCCCCGGCTCCCCGACCCAGACCTGTTACCCGTCCTCCTCCACCTGTTATTCTTGATAGTGATAACCCTTGTTTTCAATTTACCGATAATCAATTTTACCATGATATTGCACCAGGTCAACAATTAAATGATGAATACACGAATACTCTTTATGGTAATCCAACTATCGATGAAAATGATGAGGAAAATGATGATTTAGATAAAACGCAACCTGATTTAGATGATACACTTACTAGTCATGTTGTTAACCCAACTGATAATAATCCAAATGATGCCCCGTCTGACCCTCCTGTAGTAACCCCTACTTTTAATAGACAACCTTCTAGACGGTGCGAAACATCTCTTGTTTGGCACTTTTTTATTCAACTAAGAGATCAAAATAAAGCTAAGTGTAGAACTTGTGGGACTTTGATGGCTCATAAATTTATTGGAGACCGTAGCGGTACGGGTAGTTTGACTAGACACATAAAGACACACCCTAAAGATAAAGCTAGATTTCTTCAAATGAAAGCTACGCAATAGGGGACAAGTGTAGGTACTCAGATTAACCCTAGTACCGGGTCAAATCTAGTTCAACCGGGAATTAACACTGTTACCGGTGGCATTTTATATTACGACCCAAATAAAGATCGTGAAGAATTGGCAAAAATGGTTACTGTTATGTGCTTACCCTATAGTTTTCCTTCTAACCCTCACTTTGTGCATTATATTAGAAGAGTTTTTAATCTTACTTATAAAGGATGGCCTCGCACAACCGTAAAGAGCGATATTTATAAATATAAGCATGAATATGAACAATATTTGCGCTATTTATTTACTCAGATAAATTGTCGCGTTGCTATTACTACTGATATTGGTAGAAGTGGTAATGACTGTGATTATCTTACTGTTACCACTCATTGGATTGATGAGGAATGAATAATACAAAAGCGCATTATTGCTTATAGAATAATTAATTCACGTCACACAGGTAAGTTTATTACTAACACAGTTGAAGATATTTGTAGATATTTTTGCATTAGAGATAAAATAATGTCAGTTTCAATGGATAATGCTTCTAGTAACACTAATGCTATAGGCTTGCTTACAACTACACTAAATCCTGCATTTAGTAATATTTTCCATGTTAGATGTATTTGTTATATTTACCATTTAATCGTCGGTGATGGTATGAAAATTTTAAATGTACAAATTAAAAAGGTTAAAATGGCTCTTAATTGGCTTTTTTATTCAAACTGTAGAAGTAGACTTAGAGAGTATTTTTAAAAATGTGATGAATTTGGCCTTAGAGAAAGAAAGGTTCCTAAACCTTGTCCGACTAGATGGAACTACATGTATGAAAGTTTAGTTGTTGCATATGAATATAGAAACCCAATAAACGCAACGTTTAATGCTCGTGTTGGTGGTGGTGATGATGATGATGATGAGCACCTTACAAATCAGGATTCGACTAATGTTAAAATTCTTGTAGAATTTTTAGAACAATTTCATGTTGCTAAAAATGAATTATCTATCCTACTATTTCTAACTGTTTAGTTTATATTGCAGAACTTGCAAATTTGTTTACTCAATTTTCAGAGGGTGGGGTAATTTATCAACTTGCTATTGATTCTATGAAAGATAAGTTTTAAAAATATTTTTTCCCTATCCCCCCTATTTATAGTGTTGCTGCCATGTTAAATCCTACCATGAAATTAGGATGTCCTCACTTTTGGTATACAAATATTTATAAGGCTTTATCACTTTCAGATGAGGAATTTGCTACACTTGCAGATGCAAAAGCCTCAATTAAAATAAATGCTCAAACAATTTATAATGCTTATCAACTTGCCTTAGATCATGCTAGACCAAATGTTCCAACTCCTACTTCGTCTAGTTCGCAATCATCTAAAAGAACAGCGGGCCTAAAAGCACTTAGTTCTTGGACGGGGTTCAGGGGTTCTCAAGGTGATAATATTGGTGATAGTTCACAACTAAATGAGCTTCAAGTTTATTTATCGCAGGGACTTGAATCAGAGAATCCCGACGGTTCCTTTGATGTTTTGGAATGGTGGAAGGACAAAGAAAAACACTATCCGGTTCTTTCAAGGATGGCTCGAGATATTTTAAGTATTCAAGCTTCAACAGTGGCATCGGAGAGCGCTTTCAGTCAAGCGAGACTTCAAATCGGTGATCATAGAGCGTCTATGAGGGAGAGCTTGGAAAAATCGGTACTCTTTAGAGATTGGATCCGTTCGGAAAGAAGAACTTTTGGACTTGCTGAATCACAACCGGAGATAGACGAAGCTTATGAAGAAATGCTAGCGGAATTTGCGGAGCATGCATGCTGCTTCGCCCGGAAGCGGTGATGAACAAGCTTCTTTTCCGCCACCACCAACGGAAATTCCTCCGAACCTTGAAGGATTTATGAAATTTCTTAGAGATAATATGTAGACTAATATGTAACTTGTATTTTGGCACATCTTCATTAGTTTTTTTTCCTTTTAATGGTGGTATTAGCACCTTGTTGTGCTCATTCCATTGGGGGAGGAAGACTAAGAAAGATATTGCCATTTTTTGTTGTCGTAATAATAAAAATTATACGGCATTCCCTTGAATATTTCTTTACAATTTTTTTGTGTTTAAATTTGAATTAGAAGATTTAAGTCACAATTATATAATATAATTTACAAGAAATTGCCTTAGATAAAAAAATTCAAAAAAAATAGCCCGGAACACTTAGGCCAGTTTAGGCCCGTGGGCCCGGCCCACTTAGCTCGGGCCCATGTGGGCTTAGGCCCATAGTGGGCCGGTTCCACCCTCCAGGACCGTTAAGCCCGGGACCACTTGGGCCCGGCCCGTCGGAGCCCGGAGCCGCTTGGGCCAGGCCCGTTTAGCCCATTTAGGCCCGGACCCGAACCACATAACAGCCTTAACGGAAAGTTCCATAATATACTGGAGATTGGTACACCTGTGTATGAACTTCCAACATATTATGCTGGAACTCGAACACACGGAAAGTTCCAGCATAATATATTAGAGATTGGAGCACCTGTGTATGAACTTCCAGCATATTATGCTGGACCAGTATATTATACTGGAACTCCAGTATATTGTGCTGAAAGTCCAGTATATTATACTGGAACTCCAGTATATTATGCTGGAATATTTTCCGGATTTTGAACGGTGTTTTCGTTCAAATTTATCTTTACGTGAAAAGTGGCTAAAATTCGATTACTTTTGAAATTGTGGCTATTTTTCAATTACCACTTGTAAATCTGACTATTTTTGAATTTCAGCTATTCAAGAGGCCCATAAAAAAGATGCTGTAAGATTTAACAATATAATGTGGTCATTTGTATCTCAAGAAACAATACAGTCTATATCAACCACCTACAAATCTATAATTTGGACTTTGCAGGGTGCATATACTGCCATATCTGGATATTGGCAGCTCCAACCTCCCTCCCTTGCCAAGAATGTATCTTGGAAAACGTCTGACCAATAAAAATGACTAATGCCTTTGTATGGTTGAAAGGTATACTTGACTCTGCACCAGCAGCAAATCGCTGAACTTGACTTCGTTGGTGCATATATACAAGTCCCCCATTCCTAAACAGCGACAGCTTCTGTCCCAGTGAGATGAATTCTTTAGTAAAGACTCAATCCACATGCTCTCGAACCATATGCATAGCAATACCTCCCATGATGTCCCTGACTGAACTCCTAGGAGATCAAGAAACTAAATACTTGTTTTTCAAGCTGCTTTACTATCTATGTGTTCTCGCATATACAGCCAGGAAAGGGATTCGCATAAAAGCTCTCTTCCAACTTCGGGAATTCACCTGGCTCCCTCAAGTAAGGAGCACCAGCACGACTCGCATGAAGCTTTTTAACTTTGGAGCTGAATTTCTTCCAAGAGATCTTACCATCATCGAGTTCATCAACTAGCTTCACAAAATTCATCCTGCAAACAGGAAGATTAGATGCCAAAAGTTAGGTCGAAAAAAGTACCTCCGATTTGGGAGTATTGCATTTCATAGTTTGAGAAAATAAAATCTGTCATTGTTAGATAGGGATAGGAAGATAGCAAGAACAATTAATTACCTGTCTGGATTAATAGTCTTCTTAAAGTTTTCAAAGCGCCTATGACCTTGTACTGCCTTAGCCATATTTCCATCGTAGGTGTAAAGGAAAACATCACTCTGAAGAGCAACAACGTAGTCCAAACCAGCCAGCATATTTTGGTGATGCTCGAAAGGATTCAATTCCTCCTCCGTTGAAAGAGTTGAATGGGAAAAGATGTTTGGGAAATTATCCAGAAGAGGTTGCATGCTTCCATTCCCATAAGCTTCACCAGCCACCAAGTAAATCCTGGTGCTCGACGGGAATCCCAGCCCCTTAAGCAGAAGGGCAGTCTCCCTCGGGGTCAAAGGGCAACCACCAAGCTTTCTTTTTTCTGCACCATCAATTTCCTTTTCTTTCCAATGCCCGACCTCATAGCGCATCCTACGGAGTTCTTCATCCTCTTCAACTGTCAAATTATGACTGCAGCCTGTAAAAGCAAGCATATCCTTCTCATACCTGCAAGTAGCATAGTTAACTGATTACGTTAAAAGGGTACAGAAACAACAGTTCAAGCAGGAAAAGAAAAACTTGAAAGCAAATGCTTCAGCTAAGATAACACATCAGCATTACAGTTTGTGCAGTCACCATCCGATTGACTTTATATAACCATCATGTTACTTGAGAAACAAATATAACTGCATTTAGATGATATTACAACTTTGCAGCCACTTTCTTTCAAAATATACAGTCACAGTCGTTGCTTTAAGAGTGCAAAAGTCATACAAGATTAGAAAGTAAAACTTAGATAGCAGTATCCAATTAAAGGATCAACTTATAAATACTGACCCTGCAAAAGTAATGACCTCAAATTTTATAGAACTTTTGGCCTGGTTCATTTGCAGTGGTCTACAGAGAGTATACAAGTGCATGCTACATAAGTATACAGACATGACGTGGTTAATTGCCATTTTTAAAAACAGTACTATTACAATGAACGGCATGTCTGGCTACATCAATTGGCCTGATCATTCAAATGAAAAGTGGCATCAAATTTTTTGTCCTCATTCTCTTCTTTATACTTGGGGGTGTTTGACTTGCACTATATTCATTTTAGACCCTTGCATTAATTAAAGCGGTGGACGAACAACAAAAGAGCTGTATGTCGCTATAGCTCCAATAGCTGTGAGAGAAAGAGATAACCACCGAAACTGACCTTAAATGAAGAGCAAGATAAGGACTTCCATCTTGTCGCATCCTTGAAACCAGAATTCTTCCCAAATTTTCAATTGGGGCAGAGTATTTTAGTGCTTGGTAATTTACACGGCATCTCAGCTTCTGAATAGAATTGGGAATCCCATTGTTGGCTATCCGAGAATCAGTATGAGTAAAATAAATTACTTTGTGCTGCTTCAAAAGAGGGAGGACCTCTGATTTATAATAACTGACCTGATCAAATGAGAGAAACATGTAAGTATGGCAGGATACTCATCATCACACTAACATTTTGGTATCCATGTCAGTTTCACAGTTCACTCAAAGCAGTCTCACAACCATGTCAAAAATACACAATAAATTAGAGCCCTTGTTCTTGAACCTACTATTTGCGCAATCAATCAGTTAAGGACTTAACCTTGGACCAAGATATTGGTGTTTTGTTAAAAGGCTCAGTTCCAGCTAATTCTGGTGGTAATGTCTCGACAATGTGGATGTCATCCTTCAGAGTTTCAATGAAGTGCTGCCAGTCAAAAAGATCTTTGAAGCCACTGCATCATACAAACAATGGAAGAGATCGAGGGGAGTCAAGTGAAGAAAAACATCTACATGATGACTTAAAATCTTAATTTAAACATGAGAATATAGATAAAGCATCTGCAAATAAAAGTTTTAAGCCCTTTGTTCATTCTATTTTTGGTGATTCCGGGAGAGGAGAATGGTAGTTGTCTATATTTTATTTAAAAAAGAAAACACCAAGGGATGTGGTGGCATGGATGGGATCGACCCTTAACCAGAGTTATCAGGTTCGAGTCTTGAAAATGGAGAAACTCCCGATATGAAGCGCCTTCCCTTAGTTACCCTACGCGCTGCGAACGTCGGACCAGTGAGAATTTCGGGTACCGGATGCATAAAGCAGAGAAAGAAAAGGAAAATAGAAGATTGCATTTGGGGGTTTGGGAGGGGGGGGGGGGGGATGTTGCAGCCTAAAATAAATAAATTAAGTTGTCCCATCTCTAGCAGTTTGAGATTTTTGATAAGGTGATTCATACAAGTTAACATAGTATTAAAGAAAGCAAATTTCTTGGTTCCATTCCCGGTGCCACCCCAGAACAAAATATTTCACAGGCTTGCCACAAAAAAGGGGAGAAAATAAAAGGAATCAAACATGCATGTGAGGGAGAGTGTCCTAAACCTAAAATAAATAAAAAGTCTCTCCTCTCTAATAATTTGATCTTTTGGATGATATGGTTCACATAATTCAATCGGAGAATTGATAGAGAGAGAAGGTGGGAGGGAGGTTGTACATTTCTAGACACAAATTTAAGTGGCAAAGCAATCTTTAAGAAAATATAAGATGGCCAATGTTTAATTACAAGTACAGTCAGTTGCTTTTGTTAATATACCAAAAAAACTGCATTTTTTCATTACTACTGATTTGCCAAGTTTAGAACGTTGTGTCCAAGTTTTTTAACTTTTCAGCTACTTTGGCCATCCCGAGGAGAGTTGAAACAGACTGCAGATGGTGATTTTGCTTCATAAGTTAAGGTGGTCTGACCTTCAACTCTAACTGCCTTCAAATATACATTCAAACACACAATATATACAACCCCGCATACATAGTTGTTAACTAAAAAAAAAGTAGACTCTTAAGGATTAACACTTTCAACTTCCTCAACATCTTGTGTCTTAAAGGAGTATAAGAACAAGAGAAGCACAAAAAGCTGATATGTTTATTGAATCAAAGCAACCTTTAAATACAAGAGTGAAAAACCAATTCCCTAAACTAACTCCTCTGGAAGAGGACTAAACTACTTGCTAAACAAACTCCTTGAAAAAGGAGATTTATTTGAGAAAACAAAGGACTAACAAAATCCTAACTACTAGCTAAAGAATTGGTCAAAGTAATAAAGTAGCTGGTGGTTAACTTATGCTCTAATACGCCCCCCTCAAGTTAGGCAGTGTGTAACTACGCATAGCTTGAATAAGTGTCTGTCAAAGGCTGGCTTTGGTAGCGCTTTGGTGAGAGTATCCGCAAACTAATCTGCAGTATGAATATGAACAATGCCAACTTGATTCTGTTGGACTTGCTTGCGAACAAAGTGAAAGTCCACCGCAATGTGTTTCATGCGGCTATGGAAGACTGGATTTTCGCACAAATAAGTTGCACCAACATTGTCACAGTAAATGGTTGGTGCTTGTGGAAGTGAAACATGTAGTTCATTTAGCAGATTCGTCACCCAATTTGTTTCAGCAAGTGCACTTGCAACCGCTCGATACTCTGCTTCGGTTGATGAGCGAGCAGCTGTTCTTCGTTTCCTGGATGACCAGCTCACAGGATTTTGGCCAAAACACAGTATGTAACTAGTAGTGGACGCTCGATCACTCGTATCTCCAGCCCAAGCCCAATCCGCATCAGAATACATATGTAGCTTGAAATCATTATCTCTTTGAATGCGAAGACCAAACTGCATTGTTCCTTGAAGATACCTGAGTACTCGTTTGAGTGCTTTCCGGTGTACTTCAGATGGGGAGTGCATAAATTGAGACAATTTGTTCACAGAGAAACTTATGTCTGGACGAGTGAACGACAAGTACTATAGTTTTCCAAGAACCCTCCTGTAGCGAGTGGCATCAGTTGGTTCCGCTCCATCATTTTGTTGAAGCACTTCACTGGAACTCATTGGAGTTTTTGCGGAATTGCAATCTTTCATATTTTCTTCAGAGAGGATTTCACTGATGTAATTGGATTGTGATAGAGTAATTCCATCTGCAACACGAAGCACCTCAACCCCGAGAAAAAAGTTAAGGTTTCCGAGATCCTTAATGGAAAAACGGCCAGCAATACAATAGATAGCCTGATTTACATATGAGCTATGGCTGCCGGTGATGATGATATCGTCGACATAAACCAGCACATACAACACGTTGTTCGACACTTTGCGAATGAAAAGCGATGCATTAGATTCGAACTTGACAAATCCCAAATAGAGAAGGAACGTCTTAAGTTCATTGTACCAGGCCCGAGGAGCTTGCTTGAGTCCGTATATAGCTTTCTTTAGGTGACATATATGTGAGGGGAACTGCTCGTCTTCAAGACCCGGAGGTTGGACCATGTAGACTTCTTCTTCTAGATGACCCTGCAAGAACGCGTTGTTGACATCAAGTTGACGTATGGGCCAATTCTGCTGGACACCAATCGAAAGCACCAAGCGCACAGTAGTCGGTTTGACAACCGGACTAAATGTAGCGTGAAAGTCAATTCCAGGGTGTTGTGTAAATCACTTTGCAACAAGACGAGCCTTGTAGCGATCGATTGTCCAATCAGCTTTTCTCTTTAACCTGTATAACCACTTGCAAGAAACAATATTTTTTGTGGGATCATTGGTACCAATTTCCATGTCTGATTATTCAATAATGCATCAAATTCACTTTTCATTGCTCTCTGTCACTCTGGGTGTTTGTTAGCTTGTTTAAATTTGGTGGGGGTGATGGTGGGGGATAAGTGAGCCATGAAGTCAAGGATTGTTTTCGGTTTGTGAATGTTGTTCTGTGAACGAGTCACAACACGATTTGGATGAGGGAGAGAAGGTTGTTGTGGTTCTGTGACCGGAAGGGGTTCGAGGGAAGGTTGTGAGGGTTGCGGAGTTGAGGCAGTGGTACGAGCAACGGTGGTTTGGCCAGTAGATGTCATTTTGGTCGTTCTGCGACTGTATACAATTGGAAAAGATGGTGATTGAAGCTGTGGGACTGAGGTGAATGGTTGTTGAGAATATATAGGTGTTGAGGAAGGGGGTGGTGATAATGTACGTAGTAATTGTGGAGGAAGGAGACATTTGAATTTCTTAGGATAATTGTTGTGGATGGCAATGGGGGATAAGATTGGGTATCATTAAGATCAGGAGGAACAACAGAATTTGTAGGAGGAGAAGTAGAAGACGTACCTGTAGTTGCAGATTCTGTTGGACGCAGGCAGAGGACACGGTGTCTTTGTGAGCGCTGGTTTCTGTATTTGGGATAAGCATAAGGTTGGGTAATTCACTTATTATGGGAGGAGAAAAATAGGAGATTTTATTGGGTTAGTTTCAGTTAGGTTTTCCCACGCAAGAGTTTTAAAATTTAACAAAATATTTGAAAAGATATTCTGAAAAGGAAAATTAATTTCAAAAAATTTTACACCTCGAGATAAATATATTTTGGAAGATTTCGGATCAAAACATTGATGACAATAATAATTTAAGGAATAACCTAAATAAACACAAGGTGTTGACCGTGAATCTAATTTATTTTTTGAATAGGGTTTGAGCCAGGGATAACAGAGACACCTCAAAATTTTTAAAGAATTATAATCTGGATCGTTACCAAACACTATTTGAAAAGGTGATTTATTTTGTAAAAGTGAGGTTGGCAAGCGATTTATAAGATAAACCGCATGTATTAGAGCATAAGTTAACCACCAGCTACTTTACTACTTTGACCAATTCTTTAGCTAGTACTTAGGATTTTGTTACCATCACCCATGGAGACCTGCTCCATGCCATTGTATTACTGCAAGTTGTGAGGATTATCAGTTATGTGGTGAGATGCTCCAGAGTCGAGAATCCAAGGATTTGCTGATGCGTGCATTCCCGAAACATAGTTGGCCTTGGCCTCAAAATGAATATGAGATCTGGATCTGCATACACTTGCAACATGACCTGGTTTGTTGCACAATTGGCAGCGAACACCATCATAAGAGTTGTTGGTGTTCGAAAATTGCCCCTTATTTTGTGAATTAAACCGATTGTTGTATCGCCATTGTTGGTTGCTGCCATTGTTACTGTTGGAGCGACGATTGTTGCGATTGTTCGAGTTTCCAGATTTGCTGAATATAGCAGCAGCAGCACTAATCTGGCTAGGAGCTTTCTTTGACTCTTCATGTCTAAGGAAAAGCTCGTGATCAAGAAGCTTCTCATAGAGTTCTTCATACGTAATAGTGGAGTCACGAGCACGATTGCAGCAGAAATCTCACGAAACTCTGGTCCTAGACCACTCACGATCTTAACAATGAGTTCAGAGTTTGTGACCGGGGCACCAGCAGTAGAGAGTTCGTCAGCCATGGATCAAATATTTTGAAGATATTCGGTGACTGGTTGGGAGTCTTTTGTGAGTCGCGCAAGTTGATCGCGAAGACTGAAAATTCCGGTTTGGGACTTGTTAGCATATGCAGTGTGCAATGCATCCAAGGCTTTTTTTGCTGAATCGGCAGCTCGACAGTAGTGGCAATTGTTGGATCAACAGATGCCATAGGTGCATTATGAATGAGTTGGTCTTGACGAAACCAAAGAGCAAATGCAGGATTGGCACTAAGGACTGTGCCAGTTGTGATAGTGCAAGACGGAGCAGGAGTAGACCCATCTAGATGACCATAAAGATCGTGACCGTGCATAAGCATGGAAAATTGCGCCTTCCAAGTTGCGAAGTTGTGGCTGCCTTGTAATTTTATTGGAATTGTGACGCAGGATTAAATTGGACGACCATCACACCACTATTGTTATCAGCATTAACAACTCCAGTAGTGTTGGCCATTTGTGGAGGGTGGGTGGGAGAGAGAAAAAATAGGATCTTACTCGTTAGAGTTTGTTGAGGCTCCTGATACCATATAAGAACAAGAGAAGCACAAAAAGCTAATATGTTTATTGAATCAAAGCAACCTTTAAATACAAGAGTGAAAAACCAATTCCCTAAACTAACTCCTCTGGAAGAGGAGGACTAAACTACTTGCTAAACAAACTCCTTGAATAAGGAGATTTATTTGAGAAAATAAAGGACTAACAAAATACTAACTACTAGCTAAAGAATTGGTCAAAGCAGTAAAGTAGCTTGTGGTTAACTTATGCTCTAATAAGGAGATCCTTCGAAGTTGAAATGGTGATGCCTAAAACTGCCCATACACCTTTATGCTTTTGATGTCATGCAAAAAAGTAATCCTAAAAGAACTATCTTCTTCTTTTTTCTTCATTTAAACTTCGTTGTTTTTCTTTCTTCTCTCAGTTAGATCTTGAATTTTTTTCTCTCAAAGCTAGAGGTATGAACTTGTTAGCACACAAGTGTTTCAACTCGGGACCGGAACCAACCATTTAAGTATTAAACTAAGCTTTATCAAAAAAGTGAGAAACTAAGAACAAAGAATCCAACACACATGATACATAACATATTGGATATTCATACTACAATATATGGTGTGGGTGGTGGGTATCTTCCATAACTTTTGCCATATCAAAACCCAGTGCGAAATAACCAATTCAAAAGTGCTAGTGATGATGTTATGAATATGAATTGGAGAGGTGATAGAAGCAGAGCACCTTTCATCTGCCCAGTAGGATGTATGATCAAGAGATGGAAGTACAAGTGTTGCCTTCATCATTTTAGCAACAGCTACCATATCACAAATCTGCATTCTAGAATTATTTGTTAATCAGATGGAGATGATAAGAATATCCAAAAAAAGTAACTGAAGCATGAAACCTATAACAATCAGACCCCAAATCTCATCTGATTTAAGCCACCATTTGCATTTATCAGAAGGTAACCATTTGTCTTTGCATCTATAACTGCCAAATAAAGCAAAAAGGATGAGGGGAAGGTATAAACAGTTAGGAGTAGAATAAAAATAAATCATGGTTCAGAAGTTTACGTTTCTGACTCTTTGTCCGCTCAATGCACTGAGTGAAATTTTCACTATTAGGCTTCAACCATATTTCTGAATGCTGAAAAAGGAAAAGAAAACAACATTTAGTGATGCTTTCTCTAGTACATTCATAGTCTCAACAAGACGGAAGATTTGAGATAGGACTTACATCTAGCATGCTGTTATGGTTACTAACCACACCTGATGCAACCATACTTAGACTCTGTTCCACATGATTCCGCTCTCCGCTATTTTCGATATCTCTTTCCATATTCCTATAGACATGAGAGCTTTGATCCCTTAGATTTTGCTGACCGACCAGAGAGTCATATGAATCCTGTTGAGCAGTGTCAAACAGTTTAGAAAACAAAACTTTACTGATACAAATAATCTTGTTCTTAATAGGCAGTACAGCAAAATCATCAGTTGGATTTTCATAACTATGAGACCTCACTAACAAAGAAATTCATGTCTGAAATCAAATACAACTAAGGTTATCTGCCTCTCTCAACCTTTTCCTTCGTTCTGTATGTAACATATGCTTTGTGTTACATGCTTCACCTAAAGCTGAAGGCCTGATATTTCTATTATACCACTGTCATGTGAAACTCTAATCAAAGAAGAATATGCATTATCGCGCCACATCCATGCTGTCTTTGTTGCTAAAAAAAGTGGGAATCATTCAATGGATACTTTCAGAACTTATCCTATGAACAACCAACTATATTGAAGTTTACCAAAGGCAAGCATCTGGACAGCATACTATAAAGAGAAACAACAATTACGCCTCAGTGCCGGATATTAAGCTCCAATTGATACTAAGAAACAAACAAAAACAAACCAGATTTGGACACAAGAAAATCTACATCTATCAGCAAGTTAACCATATGAATCAAGAATTTCATCTGTAGAACTAAAAAATTAACCTGACTATACGCAACTCTATCAATAGCAGATCCAAACCAACCATAAGCACAAAACTTAAGAACACCCAAAAACAAGCACAACCCACAAAACACCAAAAACATCCAATGGCCCAACTTCCTCCTTCCTTTCAATTCCAATCCGAACCCAAAATCCACACTCAACGATTCCAATTTTTTCCTCAAATGCACCCTTTGAATAACATTACTCAAATGGGTTTGCTTCTTTTCGACTAAAATCTCATACCCATCAGCAGCAAGATTCGAATTTGTTGTTTCAGATCTGGGTGAATTGAGTACATCAATCTCATGATGAGTATTCAAAGTATTACCACCAGTACTGCTGCTAGTACTACTTGTGTTTTGCGTAGTTTGGCTAGTATTATTGCGTTTGAAAGAGTGAGCTCTACGAGTCATTGGACCCGAAAATCGTGGGCTGTTGACCCGCTGTGGAACGCCATCTGTGGCGGTGCTGTGGTGGTGGCTATGGTGGTTATTATGGTGATGCCCCATTTTCTTTTTCTTTTTTCCAAAAGAAAAAAAAAAAAAATATATATATATATATATATATCAACAGTATGAAACTATGAATACATTAGCTGTAGTGATAATTTATGTAGATATGTATTTAGGAGCAGAGATGATTGGCATTAATGGAGAGAAAGCGGAGAAATAGAAGGCAACTTTCCTACTAGTAAAAAAGAGGGGAGAGTTTAATCTTTTTCTTTTTACGGGTATTAAATTCTTTCACCAATGAAAGAGGAGTTGTTTAGCAGAGCCGCCATTTTCAACTACTTTTGAGGTACTTACAGAAAGCGGATAAATACATTGCCCCTTACTGGTCAAACAAAAATAGAATATACATCATCCCTCACTCGTTTTCTAAGTATAGTATTTAAATTCAAATATATATAAAAGTATTGATTATTAAAAATATTTTTTAAATTCTAATATTACAAAATCCTTGATGTAAAAAGGGCAACCGATGCACGAAGTATGTGGCATTTACGCAGAGTCGGAAAAAGACCGCAACACAAAGGGCGTGATATAATGGTCTATCTTAATGCAAATATTAGTGACTGCTTTCACGACTCAAATTCGTAAGCTATATGCCACACGAGTACAGCTTTATCGTTGCTTCAAGGGTCTCCTTTTGTTCTTCGTATGAAATCATTGATGTGGTTTGTTTATTTTTTCACCACCTAATTATATACTATGATTTATTTTTTCTTATACATTCATAAATATAAAAATTTATTGTGTAAATGTCTGTCACCCGGCTTAATATATGTTTTAATGAGTAACCTGTATATATATATATATATATATATATATATATATATATATATATATATATATATATATATATATTGTATAAATGTCTGTCCCCAAAAGGAATGTTACTCATAAAGACAAATAAGTGACTGTCACCCGGTACCATTCAATGAAAAATATTATATAGCATTAAGTACATAGTCCGTTACAGAGAATATGACATTCATAGCCAGTCGCTATACATTCTTCAATGGCCCCCATAATTGTCATTTAAGAGAGGTGATCACGCCCAACCATGCCTTATAAAAAGGACTAAGCGGACGTTGCAAATATAATCTGAGTATTTAGCCCAGAGTCGAATCCTCGGGGAATTAACCTATCAATTACCTTTGTTAGACTCACTAAATTCTTCGTAGTCAACTTCCCAAATATTCTGAATAACAATTAGTGATGTTTTAACTAACTATAACTGAAGAACGTTAAGTAAACTAACAGCTAACTATGATCAAGTTGTAAGCAAATAAGAGAAGGATCTAAGGTTATGATTTTCCCTATTGATGGAATCCCTTTCTGTTATGTTTCATATAGGTTTGCCTAATCGTCTCTATCAATCGTGAGCACTCTTACTACCGTAAATCTCTCCCGAGTAATTACGATAATTTACTAGACGCACTCTCCCGAGTTACGCTAGGCTTTTATTACAATTCACTTTAGATCATACCCAAGGCTTTGTTATCCCTAATCCCGCCTTTAAACCCTCGATTATTGATCCCTCATATGCTTTGGGAGTGGTGTTGTTCAACAATTACCTAAATATGCACTCTCTCCCGAGTAATACATACTAAATAGGCACAGCTAATTGAGGATCCTATCAATTAACTACAACAAGAACGTAGTTGAACAAGTAGAGATTAAACCGGGCAAACTATATTAACATAACACGAAGTTCATCCTTCAATAGGTTCCATCAAACCCTAGACATAGTATTTAGCTACTCATAGCAAAGCAAGATAAAATCACTAAAGTATTTATAATGTGCAAATAAGATAACAAAGAGAAGATTGAAAAACTCTAATGGTTGATTGCTCTTCTCACACTTGTTCTTGCCTCCAATTCAGTCCAAAAATAAGCTTAACCCCTGCTTGGGCGAGTTTGTTGAGTTTGTAAAGGGTTGGGATAAGTTTTCCCCAATTTACACTTTAGTCCCAAAATTTCTGGGCAAGTACACAGTCGACCGCAACCGCGGTGAATCACATCTATTCTGCCTCGCTCGTTTGGCCCACCGCGTTCCACGCCGTAGTCGACCGCGGTCGCAGTGGCCTCTTGTTCAGTTTTCCTTTGCCTTTTTCTTGCTTATTTTCATTTGGGTTCTTCTTGATTGGCCTTATATCCACAATATTAATTCCAAAACACTCCATAGTCTCTTCCTAGCTTGGATTAGTTCCTGCTAAGCAAAAGAACACCAATTAGAGTATTTTGTTATTATTTAGCCTTTAAAACATCAATAAAGTATGGTACATTTAGAGTGTAAATAGCGTCTATATAGCCTACTATCAACACCCAACACTTAAATCGTTGTTAGTCCTCTAGCAACAAACCACACTCTATAGGCCTAATCGTTATTGGGTCACTTCCCTACTCCATATACCAAGAATAGTTCACATGGATAGACTACTTCAGCGTAACCTCCTCGCCTCAAGAGCGGACTCCTTTCTAGCCACGCAACACCCCTAAACAGCTCTCCTACTCTCAGTCGGAGGTCAAGACTTACCTTCCCTTCATGAATCATGTGCCTACTCACTACAAAAGAGACTTATATTGTTTACAAACCACACAATGAGGAATTCGAATACATCATTTCACTCACCCTCAAAACAAATTCTTATTCCACAAACAACACACTATAGGCTTACCCGTAGTGTAATACTCGACTAATCGAGCTTATTCGGTCTAGAATCAAATAGGACTTTATTTGGTTGTAATGTTGGCTGCGGGGCGGGTAGGATACATCTGGGTATAGTGACTACACCTCCCTAAGCACTCCACTACATTGTGTACTGTTAAGCTCTTAACTTTGTCACACCTTCCTTCCACCATTACACTATTGTGTTAACCCTTTTTTTTTCTTTAAGCACATTTTTTCTTTTAATAGCTGCCACCACTTTGAGGCTTTTTTTTTCTGGTGGCCTCTAATATTGTTTATCAACTAGTGCACTTTTTTTTGTCCCCTTAATTCCACTTAACAGCCCAACCAACCACCCCACACTTATATTTTTTCATATCTCTTACACTTTGAGTGCTTCTAAGAGGTGACAGTGTTCAACAAGATAGGCTATTTAAACTCGGGTTAGGCTTGTAATGTGGTTGCCATGAAAACAGCCTTACATGCTCAACGGGGTTGACTAGGGTATACACAGTTAGGTGGGAACAAGCATACATAGAAGGGTTAAGCAAAGAAACGCCTATATCCCTTTCTAGACCAAACAAGGCTACCATTTTGCTTTGCGTACACACAGGGCAAGTTCTAGGCATTGAATATTAACACAAAATACAGAAAGCCTCACTCACACACGGCACATGACTCAATCCAGTTAGGATCATCAAACACTCTGTTTTAAGTACTTGAGCCATTCAGGAACACACAATTTAAGGCCTTATTTGAGTCAACTAAAGAGCTTAAGTGTCACACTAAAGCAGTCTTATTCAAGGTACTATAAAGTTAAGGGTCCCTATTTCCATTTATGTTTCTCGCCCAAGACTTTCTAAACTAAAAAGAAAAACTAACTACGCGTGGTTCAAATAGAAACCCATGAAAAAGAATCGTGGTTTAAAGAAAAACCAAGGGGGAGTTGATACACTACCTAATCAAACGAAGATCTTTTTTTTTGTTCGACTTATATCCCTCAAGAGACCCGTCGAGAGGTGTCCGTCTTCGGGCCAAGTCGAAGTTAACTAACATAAACCAACAATACCAAACAACAAAACAACACCATACAAAGTTATACAACTTTACAACAACAACCATCCCCCACCCCACACTTAAAGCTTTGGCATGTACCCAAGTCAACGAATATAAAGCAGAGTAAGGTAAGGGGACTTCCCTGATGCTCAATCCTGATCATATACAGTGCTAGGATCGAGGTGACACACTTGTCCTGGTGCCCTGAGCCAGTCCATGATCTTTTTCTCCGACTTGGCATGTTGAGTAGTCAAATTGTCAACTCTGGTGCACAGGTTAGTGACCGAAGTGCGGAGGCCAGCCATTTCTTGCTCCAGGGTTGTCATGCGGGTACTTTGGCGGGCCTGTGATGGGCCCGCTTCATCAGCTCTCGGCTGTGGTGGGGCGGCAGCGTCCTCATCATCCTCATCAGCATCATCAACCACCACTACCGACTCTCTCCCAACTGTGATTTTGCTAGCCCGGAATGGGGCTTTCAATGGCAATGTCCCATCTACTATAGGATTTTCAGGAACTCGTGCAGCACGGCATAACTTGGTAACCAGAGGGGGGAAGTAAAACCCTTTGAGTACTTATGGGGAGCGAATGAACATCTCATCGTGAAGGAGCTTGGCGACATCAAAATCATGGTGGGTCATAAAACAGTAGATAGTTGCTGCTCGTAGCCCATTGACATCGGTAGTGTTGCTGGAGGGCAGCAAACGGCTGTTGACAATTGTCAGCCAACACTTAGCCTCCCAATTGAGAGACTGGGAGTTCAGTGTGATTCGGTGCTTTATCCATATATACTCCCTGTCAGGCATACATACTGTTTCAAGAATCTGTGTCCACCAGACATTTGGGTGGCTATACACAAGGTAATGGTCTGTATCCCCAGTGAATACTGGCAGCCGATACACTCGGCGGATGGCCTCAAGGGACGCATTTACCCGGGTGTTTCGTACTGTGACCACCCCATTAACATGCTCCAGGCAGTTCTCGTAAAACTCCCTCACCATCAGTACATTCACCTCCTCCGGTTCATCAAAGAGGATGTCTAGCTGACACCTCCTCAACTCTGCAAAGATACTTGGTCATTCCACTTGCAAGGCTTGCCGGTCAATATGTACTTCAGGTAACAATTTCTTGGACGCCTTGGCGTTATACCTGTCCTCAGCTAGTTTGGAGACAAACCGAGCGCGGTCAAACTATTTCGCACTAGCTTGACCCCGAGCTCTAGAAGAACTACCCGATCCACTAGCGGAGGACCCTGTGGTACGTCGCTTCCTGGATTGATGCACTGTACTTGCCAAAAAAAAGAGGCTCCCATTAGTGAGGGTTTGAGTTGTGTGAACCCGTTGTGGTTACTCAGACTTCACCACCACCATGGTCACATTAGCCATTACAACTCCATAGGGGCAATTTCACAAACACATTGTGAGCATGGTCTCTATTCTAACACACCGAGCCCCATGGAAACATAAACCCATCCCTCCAAATCAACCATTCTCACTTACCATTCCACCCCACCACCATTAATTTTTACACAACAAAATCACACTCTTCTCTACAACATTGTGCACATAACCCACTAAAAAGCCGAAAAGAAAATCAAAAGAAAAAAATCTACTAGAAATACTACAACAATTAAAGCATTAAACTTGCAAAATACTAAAACAAAAATACAAGAGAAGAGAGAGGGAAGCTTGACATACCTGGTTCTAGTAGAGGGTGAGAGTAATGGGAGTTTGGGAAGAGAGAGTGGGAAGTGGGTGGGGGTGTGAGAGAGGTGAAGAAGAAGAAGAAGACAGAAGATGCTGGTTAGGGTTGATAGCGTGGGAGGAGAGGGGGAAAATAGGGGTGGGGCGTGTGTGTTTTAGTTTTATTAATTGGGGGGGGGGGGGAATTAGAAAAGAAAAGAAAGAAAAAAAAAAAAATTAAGTCTCACTTACCTGGGCGACAGTAAAGTCGCGACTCACCGCGGTCGATGTTATCTTTTTAGTTCATTTGGGTTTAAGTGAATTTTTAGAAGAATAATTAAATACTTGAAGAAAATAGAGTCATGAAAACGTTGGGTATTTGAGGGGGAGGGGGGGAGAACAAGGTAACATAGAGACTTGGGGGGAGGGAGGGTGAGAAGAGTAGCATAAAAAAATATTTTCTACTCTCCAACCAAATACTAGAAGAAAAAATTCGAAATTTTTTTTTCACCCACCAACCAAACAAGAAAAAATAAATAATAAAACCACTCATTTTTCAAAAATATTTTCCTTCCTACCAAACACACCCTAAAATCTCTAATTTCCCCCTCTATTTTTCCTTCACACCTCAACTAAAATTTCAATACTTGACAACTCAAACAACATTGATAAGATGTCGTTGTGGCCATGAAACTTGGTATATTTAGTCAAATAGAGATGGATAAAAATATTTTATCTTCAAAAGGGAATGAAAGCGATTTTTTTACTATTGATACTATTGGAACTTTTCTCAACATTTGGAGAAAGTTCTTGCCTTCTCACGAATCTTGTCTGTATAGCACATTCTTGCTATAAAAATAATGACTCCCTAGTATCTCGTTTTTGACAATTGTATGACGTTTAAGGCTATATTTGCCCTGCTCTTAAATGAAGTTACTCTATTTGATTGTACTAGAATACTTTTATAAAACACTTCAATTTTCAAATAAAGTTGACCTCCCCCTTTAACTTTTACACATAGTATACTCACTGGCGGAGGCAGTATCTTCACGAAGGGGATTCAAAATTTAATATATAGAAGTAAAAAAATAAAATTTTGCATTATATATACAGTATAATTTTTCGGCGAAGGGGGTTCGCCCCCTAAATCCACCCCCTAAATCCGCCCCTGAGTATACTTCTGAAAAGCGAAACAAACGTGTATTATGTGCCGTAGACTCCTTGACAAATACCACTATCTATTTGAACAAGGTTTTCTCATTCGGTATTTATATTAGGGTCAAGTAAATCCGTGTTTGTATCTGAAAATTTCACGTTGGGCACTTTCTAACAATGTTGAGAGTTCGAATTGTAAATCTCTAGTTAAGAATGAAGAAATACTTACTGATTCCACAACTTTATTGATAAAAAAAGCCGTTGTTTCTTAAATTAGAGATGAAAAAGTTAATTTCATTACATAATAGAAAATACTAATATTTATTGAATAGTTCGTGCTTTCTTTAAACTTAATTTCTTTTTTATTGCAGGGCTGTTGGTCTGGATTTTCTGACTATTTATATTTTATTTTTAATTTTTTCCGTTTAAATTCTAACCATGTGTTACGCCGCATGGCCCGCAATGAGAGCATATGATACAAGTGTATATTTTCTTATTTTTCTTACTTAAAAAAGAGAGGCATCAATAGTAATCTGGACAACTAATCAATTAATCATGTGGTATCCACATTATTTATGCGTTCATTGGGTCCCAAATTTAAAGAGAATCCAAATTATGAATTTTTAATCAATTAAATAATGAACGTGACTTTTTTTTTATGCCCAAATATTAATTAAATTGAAGATTTGCTGGCTGATCAGAAAAGACGATCCTCACACACTTTAATGGGATCTTTTTTTTTTTTTTTTCTTTTCCTTCTAAAGTTTGAATTTTATTATTTTGGTGAAGGTATAATTAATTTTTTGTTGTTGATAGTTTTAGGTTTTCTAATAATCTGGTTATAACTCACATAGTTCAATGTAGTATCGAAATAGAAAAAAGGTCTTGAATTCAAGATTCATTGTCATCATTCATAAGAAAGAAAAGGTTAAATAAAAGTTTTCCTTAACATCGTTACTGTGCTCGGTGTGATGAAAATATTTTTCAGAAAAGAAAGTTATTTTCTATGAAAAAGATTTTTTCGGTGTTTGCTTGTTGAATTTATTTTTCGAAAAATAAATATATTTGGTTAATATTAATACAATATTCTGGCACCAAGGACGCTTGAGCAAACTATACTGGATTGAACTTTTTGCCAAATTAGATTTAGAAAACGATCGGTTATATTTAGGGGAGAAATTCAAAAATAGCCAGATTTACCACTGGTCGTTGAAAAATAGCCAAGTTTCAAAAGTCATCGAAATTTAGCCACTTTAAATCTGAGCGAAAACACTGTTCAAAATCCGGAAAATACGCCCGCAAATTTTACGGGAGTTCCAGGATAACTATGCTGGAACTCCCGCAAATTTTACGGGAGTTCAAGCATAATTATGCTGGAACTCCCGCAAATTTTACGGGAGTTCCAGCAAGTATAATTGTCCAGTATAATATACTGGAGTTTGGAGCACTGGTGCTCCAGTCTCCCGCAAATTTTACAGGAGTTAGCAAAGTATACCGGTCCAGCATAATATGCTGGAGTTCGTACACAAATGCACCAGAACTCCCGTATATTATACTGGACCGGTCCCTGTTGCAGCAAAATAGTGGCTATTTTTTATTGACTTGGTAAACGCTGGCTATTTTTCATTGACCAGTATGAAAACTGGCTATACCATGATATTTCTCCTATATTTAGTGGGCGTTTAGACATAAGAATCGTAAAATTTCGAAAATGGTATTTGAAAATTAGAGTTGTGTTTGGACATGAAATAATTTTGGGTTGTTTTTGAAGTTTTGTGGGTGATCTAAGTGAAAATTTTGAAAAATAATTTTTTGGAGTTTTTCAATTTTTTCGAAAAATTACAAAATTCATCTTCAAGTGAAAATTAGAGATTTTATGAAAGATTGATTTCGAAAAAAGTAAAAAAATTTCGAAAAAAAGGTGAAAAAATTCTTATGTCCAAACGGGCTTTTAGTTTCCTCGTCAAACCTGGAGCTTGCGCAGTTACGCCTAATAAATCTAGACTTGGAAAGTCAGCCTAACAAGGTTAAAATAGCACGGGCTAACTAGTTTTTGGACTGGTGATTAAAAAATAGTCAGCGTTTGCAAAGTCATTAAAAATAGCCACTATTTTGTTGCAACACGGAAAGTTCCAGCATAATACACTGGAGATTGGAGCACCTGTGTATGAACTTCTAGCATATCATGCTGAAACTCCAGCACACGAAAAGTTCCAGCATAATATACTGGAAATTGGAGCACTTATGTATGAACTTCCAGCATATTATGTTGGAACTCCAACGTATTATGAAATTCCAGCATGTTATGCTGGAAGTTGACATGTAAAAAATTCAAACTCCAGCATATTATGCTGGAATACTTTCCAGATTTTGAATATTTTTTTTTCCAGATTTATCTTTATATGAAAAGTGGCTAAATTTCGATTACTTTTGAAACTGTGGCTATTTTCAATTACCACTTGTAAATCTAGCTATTTTTGAATTTCACCCACAAGTTGTAATTGACATAAATGGCCCGTTAAGGGGATGGTCGTAGTCGAATGTCCTCAAAATTAATGAGAACTCTTTAGCGGAAATGGTTTCCTGGCCTATTGAAACTCTTTCAGCCGATTCGCGGTATTTAAAAAAAGATCCTTGGATTCACACATAGCTACTATTGCTTTTCAGCGTTCTTTATCAGATTGGTAGAATTTACGTTATATTTACTTTACCTATATGTTAAAGTTGCCATCAAAACCTACTAGGTTGATATGATTTTGCTCTTAAGGAATTTTTCTATCGGATTAGTAGAATTTATACTATATTTACTCTACCTATTTGTTAAGTTATTCATTAAAGTCTACTCGATTGACATCTTTTTTTGTGTGTTGTTGCAACTTCAATTTCGATAAAACCACCGGAAATATGCTCAAAATAATCTACACATTTGAAATAAATTTTCCAAATACCAATACAAACAATCCTCAACCACAAATCTAGTCAAATAACACCAATCCAAAAAATTCCACTATGTCTTTATCAATACTTCCTAGGTCCAAAAGTGAAATTTTGAGTTTTTTAAAGCAAATTACTATATCAGTGTTTGAACTAGAAATTTAAGCATAAATTATTAATATTATATTTTAATAATAATAAATTATTAACCTTCCACTTTCCACCGTCAAATAAGAATTTCAAGGTTTAAGTATTGATGAACTACGGTGTTCAAATAAAAAAATAGGGACATTTTGCTAAAATCATACTTAGAAAACAGGGATATTCTGCCAAGACCAAATCCGTTGGGACATTGCCGTACAAATTTTTGCCAAACAAGCATTTAGAAAAGAATTGGGCCTCATTTTAAACGAGTTGGGCCTCATTCCAGCCCATTCATCCAATCTCTTGAAAGCCCAACCAATATTTGGCGGGAAAGTCGAAGTCATCTCAACAGGCGCGTCGTGTCTCGTGTGCGTGTCCAGTAAGCTTCCCACCAATGCCCATATAAACTCCTCAAACCTGCTAAACCTCCCGCCACAACCTTCCGCCGTCGTTAACCGCTTCAACTGCCGCCGGAAACATTCCCTTCACTACTGTACTCTCATTTCCCGATTTCGTCTTCATCCTCACAATATCACTTCACTGTACCATCATTTTCGCTATTGCTGGCAGTAGCTCGTCACTAATTCCTCGCCGTCACTGGTAACTGTAACTTACTCTCCATCCTTCAATATACATAAGCTTCCTTTATTCTGTTTTATCGAACTTGATAAGCTTGTTAGTCTCAACAACTGAGTTCAACTTTTGCGCTTTTTTATTTTTATTTTATATTATAGAGAAATGAGTACTTCTGTTTTTTGGGATATTTAGATACGCATATGATTTTTTTGTTGCTCATTTTAGTTCATTTGTTTTGGTAGCATCAGAGGATAAGAGATAATGGCGATTTTGAGGTCTCGCGAAGTGACTCCGGCACTCAAGCCTAAAGCCTCTTCAAAAACCCTAGAAAATGTTACTGTATTGGAACCGGCAACTCCGTCAAAGTCTCTAGAAACTTCGAGCCAGCCTTTATGTACTCCGATTTCTTCTTCGGCTGGTCGTTCCATTCCTCGTGTTGTTGCTCCAAGGAGGAGTTTGAGATTGGCTTCTAAAACCAGTTTGAGCGAAATTTTGAGTCGAAAAGGAAATAGTAAGGATTTTGAAATTTATAATGAGTGTAGTGGTGAGAGTTTGAAGAGAGACATTGATGTAGAAAACACGGTTTTGGATGAATATAAGAATTTGGGGGTTTGGCGAAGCGAAGGTATTGAAGAAATAGGTTTGAATAAATCTGATGTTATAGGAAATTTGGCATTCTGTGAGGAGAGAACTGAATATGCTAAGAAGGGGAAAGGGAAGAAAAAACAAAGTATAGAAGTGCAGGGAGAAGGGAACACTAAGTTTTTGAGTCTGCGGTCAGGCAAGAAAATCTCAAAGAGAGCAGTTGAAGAAAGCAGTGGTGGCTCTGTTGGTGAGACTGAAAGTGTTGAGAAGGGTTGCGATGAGAAGCTGTCTCAAGGAAAGCTAAGTGAAGGAATGTCAAACAGTTGTGATTCAGAAGGTGCCTTGAGCAATAAGTTGGGGACAAGTTCAGATGAGCCTTACAGTGTTAAGAGGAGGAGATTCAGTAGAGAAGAGAAATGTAAAGGCACAGTTTATGAGCAGGGTTTGTCAGTGGTTCATTCAGTAAACTTGGAATCAGAGGAAACATTTGGGATGCCATTTGATCTCACAGTACCTCAGTCTGCCTGTTTTCCAACAGACGTGGATGATCATGGTGATGAGCAAGCTGCTAGTATGCAAAATGGTAATTCAAAGACTAGAAGGAGGCTTAGCAGAGAGGAAAAAGGAAAAAAAGTGATGGTTGGCGATGATTTGCCTCATGGTGTTGATACATTGGAAGGAAAATCCAAGCAAGGGGCGGAAAAACCCATAAATGATATTGTTTCAAGAGATATTAATTTCTCAGAGGATAGGACATCTCAGGATGGAGAACAGGTTGCAGATGCCACTGCAAGCATAACTGCTACTAGAGTGTCTACATCAAGAAGAAGGTTTAGGGATATTGCCAGACGAAATGCTTCCAGATTTGCTCATTTCTCTTCCCAAACGGAACAGGATATAAATTCCACTGCTGAGGCTGCTGAGGAAATTCCACAGGAGGAAGTGAACACTGTAGAAAGAGAAGACTGGCCTGGTCCATTTTCAACTGCTATGAAGATTATTAGAGATCGTGAAACTAACATCAAACGTCAGCAGGGTTCATTTTCTGAGAAAAGTAAGATTGAATTGGTATGGTTTCCCAAAAAGGACCAGCAGTGCCAATCTAGAAAGCTGGTGGTTCCCTCACTACAAGACCTATGCATGGGCATTTTAGTGAAAAATGCAGATGCAATCACTTCACTTGATTGTGTACCTGATGCACTCAGGCACAGGATTTGCCAATCACTGTGCGATTCTCGAAAAATGACTTATCAATTTTTTGAACTTCTTACCCGCGGATCTCCTACAGAGATACGCATAAGGGACTGTTCATGGTTGGATGAGGAGAAGTTCACACAGACCTTTGAAGCATGTGATACCAGCAACTTGGTGGTGAGTTTTCATCTTTCTTTTATTTATGCTATGTCTGATTGGAGTGGAAAACGAAATGGTTGGAGGAGTAGAAGTAAAAGTGAATAAAGTGTGCGTGTTCGTCGGTTGGTTAGGAAATAATAGAACACTTGAAATAGAAGTGGAGGGGTTGCGGTACTGCGCGTCATCTTTCTCAATTTGTCGAAAGCTGGATGGAAATGATGAAGTATACTACAAGCTTACAATTATTGCAAGTAAATCATCAATGCTTCACATAGGGGAAGTAGACAGTTGGTTTCTCTCTCCTTCCTCTCCTCCTCTCATTTGAGGAACCAAACTTAGTTTTAATATTTATGAACTGCTATTCTATCAGTTAAAATATTCACCTAGCCATTTTTGAAGCAAGATGTGGTATGCTTTTGTATGTGATTCCTTTTAACTGCATTTTTATTTTATTTACCCCCTACTCTAAATAAACCTGCGTTGCTTTTTCACTCTGTACATATGATACTTGGTACTATTGGGGTCTCCCGGAAACAGCCTCTGGGTAGGGGTAAGGTCTGTGTACACTCTACCCTCCCCAGACCCCACTGGTGGGATTTTACTGGGTTGTTGTTGTTGTTGTTGTATTAAAAGGAATAAGTACTTGTTTAGCAGCATTACATGGGAGCCGCTAACAGACCTTGTTTACTAGCATAATCTCTGCTTAAGTATGATCTTGAACATTACATTGTTGATATTAAAATTCATAGAAGATAAAGTTGTCTTCAGTCTGTCCATTCAAGTTTTGCTTGCATATGTTGTAGTAATAGATCAATGCTATATTAGTTCTGATTGTTGAACTTGAAGATATTCTCTTTGTGGAACCAGGTGCTTCAACTGGATCAGTGTGGTCGCTGTATGCCAGATTATATCCTATTGGCTACATTAGCTCGTTGCCAAAACAATCTCCCTGCACTAACTACCTTGTCCTTGAAAGGTGCATGTCGTCTTTCCGATTCTGGGCTGACGGCGATCATCTCTGCAGCACCTTTTTTAAGGTCAATGGATCTCAGCCAGTGCTCTTTGCTGACATGTGATGGAATTAGCTGCTTATCTAATTCATTGGGATCAGTTCTGAGAGAGTTGTATCTAGACGATTGCGAAGCAATAGATCCCATGCTTATTCTACCAGCATTGCTAAAGCTAGAACATTTGGAAGTTCTATCAGTAGCTGGAATCCAGACTGTATGTGATGCTTTTATTAAAGAATTTGTCACTCATCGAGGTCAGAGTCTGAGAGAGATTGTTCTGAAGGGATGCACGTAGGTGTTTTTCGTCCTGTTTCAGATGATGTTCCACAGAGAAATTTGACAGATACTGATTGTATTTGTGCCTTTAATCTGATGCAGGCAATTGACTGACTGTTCTCTGAAAGAGATTGCACAAAGCTGTCCTGGATTACGCGCTATTGACCTGAGTAACTTGCGTAAATTGACAGACTCTGCAATCGGACATCTTGCCACTGGTTGTAGAGCAGTTGACAAGCTAAAACTCTGTCGCAATGCATTCAGGTTTCAAAATATAGCATTCAGTACAGAATTCTTTTCTAAGTGTAGCATATGCAGTGTCTTTAACCATAATTTTTTGCTTGCTATAATCATCATCATTTTCTGTAGCTTTTTACTCTTTTCTTCAATGTTGGTTGCTTATGCCTTTAGAGCAAATTTGTCAAAGAATATCACCATATCGCTGCTAGAAAGGAGGGTTGTTTCTTTGCATAAAAAAATCTTCATTTGAATGTTGAAAAGATGTTTCAAAATGCTTGGCTTCAAATTTCCTTCTCATGTTCCTTTTGTGGAGCGGTTGGCTGCCCAGAATCATCTAGGTAGATATTGCACACATTTTCTTTTGTATTTTACTTTTATTTTTTAAGTAAAAATAGCATATCCAATTTGCGGAGATATAACAGTCTCCTATGTTTATAGGAGTGGGTGTATACGGTACATTGTAATTTGTATATATATAAGGAACATCTCATTCTGTTGGATTACATGAGCTGGATTTGACATAATTCACACTTAACTCCTTTGATGAAATTTCTACCTTTAACGAGCATGTATGTACCCATTTCTTTGCATGAACATGTATTTGAGTATGTCCATACATGAGATCCTAGCTCTTTGTAGTTGGAACATGCCATTTCACCTACTCCTTAGCTTCATTTGTGAAATAAGTATTTGGATTAGTTAGAAACCGGAGAAAAGGAAATATCAGTCGAAGAATAGGAATGGGAAGGAAAATGATTTTGCAGTCTTATGTCTGTTTTTCCAACTTATTTGGCTTTCTATGTATTTACTCTCATATGATTCCTGAGTTGTCTTCCATGCTTGAAGGCTTATAATAGTGGTTTCAAGCTTACATATAAGATCCTCTTAGTATCATTCTTGAAAAATCACAAAAAAATGTTCTTTGAAATCTTAGGATAGTGGTTTCAAGCTACATATAGGATATTATCAGTATGCATTCTTCAAAAAATGAAAAAGAGCTATCCTTTTTGATAGCATGTTCTGAATTCCTTGTACTCGTAAATTGTAAAATTGAAAGTGGCATAAGCTTACTCTTATCTTTATCAATGGCAGTGATGAAGCTGTTGCTGCTTATGTTGAAACCAGTGGGGAGTCTTTGAAGGAATTGTCTCTCAATTTTGTCAGTAAGGTATTTGACCGCATGTAATGTTATCACATTTTTCTTATTGTGTAGTGTGGTCCTAGAGAAATGTGTTATGGGCTGTGCTTCATTTTTGCTGAATTCCAGTTGGCATCTGCTACTTAATGTCCTTGACTTCTAGTAAAATCACCAGCATCACACACTGGATATAGAATTCTCGATTAAGCCTGCTAAATCCGGCTTAGATCAACATTTATCCATTAGAAGGGGCACTAATGATTTTACTATCCAGTTTTGCTTTTTAAGTTATGTTTGTTCCACAAGGGTCAGTGAGGATTCATATAGCCGACCTCACCTTGTTCAGTTGTTTGGGCTGAGGCGCAGTTGTTATTGTTGTTCCACAAGGGGATGACCCATTTTATCAAGAAGTTATTGCTTTATGGATGTCCTGAACTTTGCTTAGATATGTCAACTATTCAAATATAATTTCAGAGTAACTTTTGGTATAATAGGAAGCCTGTTGATCTTCCTGAAACGTAGTGGAATCCATGGACAATCCAATGGGAAGAAATTTCACTCACTTTTGTGGTGACTTCCCACTTTTGGTGCTGCACTGTTAGTAAAATCTACCTTGTAAAAATATATATTTTTGAGAGAACTACCAAAAGGAACCTTGGGTAGATTTTCTTTGCTTTCACTTCTAGGCCTCTTGTTTCCTCTTCCATGTTTTTCTGGGTACATGGAAATTTGAATATCGAAAATAGTCAATGAATTATTGCCAGACTAAAAGTCAAGGATCAAAGTTTTTCCATGTCTTTATATGATTTTTACAGGTTTCACACAACACTGCAATATCACTAGCCAAATGCTCAAAAAATTTGATTAGTCTGGATTTGTCTTGGTGCCGCAACTTGACGAATGAAGCCCTGGGACTGATTGTTGATAGCTGCTTGTCATTGGAAGTATTGAAATTATTTGGCTGTACTCAGGTATGCTTTGTTTAGTTTGGTAAATGAGAAACTTACTTTGCTCACGGCTTGCCTGACCATTAAAGGACACAGCTAATGTCCTACTTTTTTTCCTGTGGTTAGACTGCCAACAGGGATTGTTGAAAGGCACCTGCTCGTACCAGAGTCAAAGACAAAGTGTTCTATCTCGATTATGTAGAAGTATAGGAATTTCTTGTGCTTGTACAATTTGATTATGTGTTATGACTTTGAGTTCTTTCCTATCTCTAGGTTTCATCATAGGTCACTTTATTGAGATCTATTCATCTTAAGGTTTCATCCGAACTGAAGAAAAGGGCACAAAAAAATTGTTTCTTTGCCCCAGATTGACCCTAAAATCTGGAGAATAAAATCTTAATTGTTGTGAAATATCAAAAATGCCTTTGCTCTCAAGGTTGGTTATCTTCCTCAAAAAAGAGTATAGCAAATTCAGTATTTTTTCTATCTTGTGGTCCGCTGTTGCCGACACTGATGCAGTCTCTGAAAACTAAATTGAACTCGAAGGAGCTAACCTGCTACTTCTTTGAAGTGTGCAATGCCAGACTTCCCTTTCTACTTTTTTTGCTTGGATGTGTTTGTGTACATTTGATTTGGTGGATTGGAATTGCAATTTTGGGTGCTTGGGTATTTGGTTGATGAGTGCTGGTAACAGCTGTTTTTTATTTTTCCTAGGGGTGGGGTGTGGGGTGGGGTTGTTTGGGTTGCAATGATGCATTTCCTCATGGGGCTAAGAGGTGGGAATGGAGAGGTGGCAAAGTGATGGATCAAGAGGGTTTCATACTTGGTAAATGTCAACCCTGAATTTTGAATCTTTGTTCGAATGCAGTTGCCAAGGTCGGCTTTGAAGCTTCGGCATGACTTTTCCTACTATCATTGAGAGATATGGATCCAAAGTTGTTGGGTTCAAATGTCCTTTAATATTGCGAACACATGATTTTCCCAAGAGAAAATGATATCTACTGGTGGTGGAGTTCATGAACCCCAGTACATTCTTTTAGAGAATAATCTCTTCTGATATTTTGTTTGATGCATTGGTTTCTTCATATGCCATAGTTTTTCTAGTCCTTTTACCTTCTCTGTTTCTATTGATTCTCTAATTGTTGCTGCATGTTTATTACATTTGCTATTTGCTTCTCTGTTTCCTTCAATACCTGGAACAGTTATTGATAGACTGTTGAAGATGTAGTTAAGCAGTGCAAAAAACAAAATAATTATTGACACGGCAAATTTGCAGGTTACTAATGTTTTCTTGGATGGTCACTCAAATCCCAAAGTTCAGATCATTGGTTTGAAGATGACTCCAATATTACAACACATTGAGGCACCAGATTCTCTGCAGCAAGGGCCATTACGATATTCAGCAGTACCATCTTTATTCTGATGATTTTGTTCGAAGTTAATTATCGTATTTGTTTCAGAATGGAGTCAATATCTTCTGAATGCCAGAAGTCATAACCTCGCCTCACTTCCTTTGGACCTAGATAACTTGTTTTGTGGTGTAATGCAAGGTCCTGTTTGGTTGAATGGCAATTTTGCAATGTTTATGGAGAACTTCTCCCCTGTCTAAATGGAAGAACATATTTTTAGCGTGGATGATATTTGATCCAACCAAAAATTTAATTCTCGTTCAGAAATGTTGCGATGTTTTGTATTAAATTTTTGCACTATCATGTTCTCGTTTGCTGGTGTTGGACTTGGATGACGTGTTTGTGGCTTTATCTATTTTTCAGTGGTGCTCGTTTTCCCTTTTTTCCTTGGCTATACTAGTTGCAAATTCAATATTGAACTATACTTATGTTCGTTCTCACTTTAACTTAAAGGTGTTAATCGGGCCGGGCTGACCCGCTAACAACCCGGTTCAACCTGGGTCAGCCCGGTCCAGCCCGTTACTGTAGCAAAAAAGCGGGTTGGGACGGGTTGGGCGGGGGGCGGGCTACAAACGTTAATTTTTTTTTAAACGGGTGACCGAACCCGCTACAACCCGTTAAGCCCTTAACGGGTTCTTAACGGGCTACAGCCCGGTTCAGCCCGTTAACCCGTAATATAATTTTTTTTTTATTTATTAAAATCTGACCGTTGCCAACGGTCAAATACCAAAAAAGACCGTTGGCCAACGGGTTTTTCTGCCCCAACAGCCACTTTTTTTCTTCTTTATTTATATTTTAACCCCCGACCCCTTATAATTTGTAAATTGCAATTGTAGCCTTTTAAAAACTATAAATACCCCCCTTTCTTCTTCATTATTCCTCACAATTCAATTCATTTTCTCTCTAATTCTCTCTCAATTTTCTCTTGATAATATTCCCAATTACTCATTATTTCAAGCTTTCAACTTTCAAGTTTCATCAAATATTTAGCTTTGTCATTACAAAAGTATTATTATCATAAATTTCTAATTCAATTATTCAAGTGAAGTGTGGCATCAATTATCAAGTATCAAGTTATCAATTGAAGTTTGAGTTTCTACTTTCTATATCAAATTTAGTGCGGCATTCAGAATCCCGGTACACTCGTTCCATCCCTTTCTCTTTATTATTTAGAATTTTTATTTGAATTTTTTATTTTAAATTACATAATGGATTTACTTAGAGCGGCCAAAAAAGCTTGCACTACTAGTAGAGGTGGTAGTAAGAAAAATTCCAAAAGAATAAGAGGTGGTTCTTCTTCTAGTAGTTTTACACATGTTTCTGAAAGTTCACCCGAAAATGTAAATGTAGATTATGAGCTACTTCAAGAAAATTATGGTATTGATGATGATTTAGATGATATTTTAAATGATATTCCATCACCCGATAATCTTGAAACACCACCACCTACACCCGGTAATGCTAGTCAAACACAAAATATTAGGGGTGGAAGTGCAAGTAAGCCTCCTTTGCCTATTAAAAAGAATCGAAGATTAAGAAGTAAGTGTTGGAATTTTTTTGATAGACTAGAAAATGAGAAAAATTATGTAAAATGTAAAATATGTAAGGAAGTTTATAAACATGAGCCCGGTAACAAATTTGGAAGATGATGATAATGTTCAAGATTATTTGATTTGGTCTACACTAGGAGAGCATCAACAAACCAGTAGCCGGAATATTGATGAACTCCAATTCTACTTGCAAAAGTCACTGGAGCCCCTCACAAAGGATTTTCTACCTCTGAGTTGTGGAGGAGCAACTCAAATCAGTTTCCTGTTCTTTCGGCCATGGCTCGAGACGTTCTAAATGTGCCTATTTTGAACAGTCGCATCAGAGAGCGCATTTAGCCAAGCAAGACAGCAGCTAGGAGATACCCGTCATTCATTGGGCAGCAACGCTTTGGAAGTTCTAGTGTGCTTCAGAGATTGGATTAGATCAGAACGGCGAAATCAAGGGCGTGACGAGGTAGATGAAGAGGAAGACCAAGAAATTGGAGATATAATGGTTTATGGTACCGATTATAATACCGGAAACCAAGAACCTCACATTGACATGGAAGAGCTTTCAAAGATGATGCAAAACATATGATTTACTATTTCTTCTTTTTTTTAAACTTTTAATTTGCAAGTTCAAAAATTTTAAAAATCAAAAAAGAACTTGCAAATTAATTTGAAGTATTATATTATTCAATAAAAATATCAAAGTTACTTAAATATTGTGATTTTTTTATATTGCATATTAGTCTTATTCAATATTTTTTATATAGACACTTACTTTCTATTTTCAAATTTAGAATTTTTTAGTTTGTTCTTTTAATTCTAACCCTTAAAAGTTCAATTCTAATCTTTAATTTTAACCCTTAAAAGTTTCAATAACATTGAAAAAGAAAAATATAACTTAATTTAAAAAAAAATTATATATAGCCCGACCCGCCCGAGCCCGTTAAAGCCGCACCCGTACGGGCCCTATAGAACCCGAAAAATCCCAGCCCGACACCAACCCGTTAACCCCAGCCCGATAACAACCCGCCCCGAACCCGTACGGGCTGACGTTTTTTTTGTCCAGCCCGTCCCAGCCCGCCCGATTAACACCTTTACTTTAACTCTGTCTCTTAAGGATTTTTAAATTGCCAGGTCTAGAGTAACACTGGAAATATTTGGTTGTTCACTTAGTAAGCTTGGGAAAAAAAGAAGAAGTTAGAAAATCATATTTTCTATATTCTTAATTTTTCTTCGACTGTACCACGGCTCAATGGCACTAAACTTTAGCGGATAAACTCTTATCTAGTACCCTCTTAATTTGACATCTTGCACGATGTTCAAATGGAATTGAACAAACACATTTTACATCCTTTTGTTTTCCTGATGAACTAACCCTATAAATAGGGGAACGTTTGGCTTGCTGTATTTCAGATTCTACTTAGAACCGTATTACTAATACTACGTTTGATTATACTTTTGGATTTCCATACCGTTCATCCACATGTTAGCCATACGGAGTAAACTGTACTATTGAATGTGGTATAGATAAATGCACACATAGTAATACAACAGTTAAACTGCACTCGCTTAAAATTTATCCTCATATATAATGTGGATACTTATAGTTTAAGGGTTTTAAAGTAAAAAAAAAAAAAATACACTAATATGGTTATTATTCTACTATCTAATAAAGGGGAGTTAGCACACAGCTGGATGCCATGTTTGCTTGGGGTTGGAAGGATAATTTGGTCATTTCAGATAAAATGGAACATTATGGTAGGCTAAAAAGAAATATTACTGTAGCTGCTATATAAATTTTTGAGTACCTTGACTAAATTGACCTTTTTGCTTATGTCATAGTCTGTCACTGCACACTTCTCACATCAGCTTTACTTTGTACTCCCCCATGTGGACCCCATGTCCCCTCCCACCTAAACCGTTTACATTTTTCAACCATTCATATTATTACAATTGTCAATAGTTACTAATTGCATACACCTATATTAATCTTTTAGCTTCTGGTTCTGTAATTAGTATATAGTGAATTACGTAAATTATGTGACTAATTTTTTGGAAAATTTTATAAATTATTTTTGAAAAATATCATCAAGTTTTTGTTTAAATAACCACAAGTGGCGTAAATATTTCAAATAGAAAAAAGGAAATTGTGTTCTACTTAATCATATTAAATTTATAATTAACTTGCTTGCTGCTAAAATAATAAGAAAACATTTAGTTACTTCTAATTTTATCATTTCATTATACAATATTAAACTACCTCTTACTGATAAAAGTTACTGTTGCACAATCACGTAGATTCAATTAAAGACTTAATAACTTAAAAATACTTGGAAATTATAATTAAACTAAATTATTTTTTTTTAGATAAGTTCAATATTGAACTACAGTCAGACATCTCTTTAAACAACATCCCTATATAACAAAAGTCCTTTTGTTGAGTGTGCGAACAAAAGTCCCACATTGGTAGCTGAAAAGATTGGGAGTCTACATATAAGGTGTAGGGATCTCTTCATGGTGTGAGGTCTTTTGGGAAAAACCATGCGAGCTTTGGCCCAAAGCGGACTAATATCACACCATGTTAAGAGTGCCATTGGGCTAGTTTAGCCCAATAACAGTGGTATCAGAAGCCTTTGGTTATTTATCCGGGTTTATTNGAGAGATTTGGCTATATAATGAAGAAAACTGTATTATACTCTATCAAATACAAAGTAAACTGAGACTAAAAATTTTGACAAGGATCAACTTATTAATTTCAAATATTTGATTTATATATTTTATTTTAAGGTCATTTTGACTAATTTCTAAAGCAAACTGAAAATCTATCCATTTTTAAATTATTTTTCTACAAATTTCATCTAATAAAGCAACATACAAAACTTAATACTTTAGAAGCAACAAAACATATTTATTCAAAAGCTAGATTTTTTTTACTCAACAATTGGTTAATAAAAATAAAATGAATTAAACATACGATAGTAATATGAAAAACTGAAATGATAAGCAGAATTTCAATTTTTTTAGATGAAGTTTTATGAAGCTATTTGATTAGTTGAGCAAATTAATGTAATATTATTACCGATTTGATATTTTTGATAATGATAGATTACATCATTGTATTAGGATACCTTTTTATTTATGATAGATGAATTCTCTAATAGTATAGAAGATGAGAATAAGCTCATAACGTGGAAAAGAAAAACTCAGGGAAATGTACAAAGAAATTAAGAGAAAAAAGAGAACTAAGATTGGGCACAAAAATTACTAATGCAGCTATAAAAAAGAACTAAAACCTTTAATTTTGACTAAGGATGAATATAAATTAATTTTAAATACTGACACTTTACACAAAATATTGAGGACCAATAGTAAGAAGACAAATGAGTACGTTGAATAGAATTGAGAATTCAGGAGCAAGAAAGAACATTTTTAGAGTCAATTGTGAAAAGGAAAGTAATTTTTTATTTTATTTATTAATATACTTTAAAAAGAAAAAAAAATACAAAATGTCATCATGTAAATACCATCAATTTTTTGCCCCCTTGAGAATCGGGCGTGTAATAACCTTATTTTAATAAAGCTCAATCTCATATTAACTAAGTAAATATATACAAAGATAAATGTACCAAATTGTTACTTTACTCACACTAAGTGCAATACAGTTAGACCTCTCTTTAACATCATCCCTATATAACAACACTTCACTATAAAAGTCAAGCTTTTGCGGAACCAATTTTTATATTATTTTATAATATATGTTCTCTATAACAGCACTTCGCTATAACATCCAAAAATATTCGGAAGAAACGAG